GTTTTGGGATTTACTCACGTTTATAAGAGGTCAAATATAACACAAAGTCGGTTTTAAAACGGGCTTCACATATGCACAGATATGTAGTGACAAAGAGACATTTCCTCAAAGGGATGAGGGAAGCCAAGGCGAGGTGTTAATCTGAAATTGCAAGGCAATACGAGGGTAAATAGGAAATAATATCAGGTTTAATATGGGGCGCCTGCACGTCCGGTTTCCCGATACCTGTAGTGAAAAGACGTCAGCTTCTCTACCGATTCTTTACTTTATTGCCATGTGAGGTTCTACTATGGAATTCCTCGTGACAAGTTATATTTGCTTCAATTCTTTGCCCTTTCCTGTTTAAAGAAAAGACACGTCTGATACTAAATAAAAAGAACAATGTTTGGTTTAATGTTGGATCCTATATATATATATATATATATATATATATATATATATATATATATATATATATATATATATAGTATACTTATTAGTAGAAAGTGGAATAACTAATTATTTGCGTTCAGTGACACTAAGGCAATGCATGAGTCTCGTGGCCTCGTATATATAATACAGTCCCACCACTCTACTTAATCTCAATTTACATAACGTAGTATTCATATAAAATATAAATTTTATTGTCAGCTAATTAGGTACAATAATGGGTTATATGCAATCCAACTTGAAAAATTGAAAATAAATACACTACAAATTAGAGAGACATGTCATAATATATCATTTCATCTTAAATATACCAACAATGTCTTGCGGCAATTTTCATTTCCAATTCCGGTGTAAGGGTTTTGTGAGTCCCCACCGAATCTATAATACAGTGTCCCCAAATCTAATACATCTCAATTTCCATAACGTAGCATTCAAATAATAAAATGCAAATTTTATTGTAACCTATTATGTACAGTAATGCATCATAGGCAATTTATAATGAAAAATTCAACTAGAAAAATTGAAAATAAATACAATGTATCCAAATACAATATAAAGACTTGCCATAATAGATCATTCAATTTTAAATAAATCAACAATGTTTTGCGACAAATTTTATCCTCAACTTGAGATTTTTCTTGTTAAATAGTTGAATAATTTAACGGGTTCAACATTATAGATAAAAAAAATCACTGCATTTCATATTGTGTTTTTTTCCAGATACATGAGCAAAATTCTAGGGTTTGAACAAAAAAAAACGACCCCAGAATGACACCAAAACCGCGAAAAACCTTCATCCTCAGTTGTGCTTATTTTACTTTGTAATGTATATAAATGTAGGTAGAAAAAAGTATTTAATAATACGATAGAAAGGGGATAAAAGGCACTGCCGTGTGCCCCCAATCAGTGTTGCACCAGGTTGGGAGTTTCGGGGGTAGTAAGCACAGGTTCTTAGTGATACAAAGGCATCAAAGCGAGCTGTTGGGTTTTACTGAAGGAATTAGATTATTTGTATGATTTATGAAAACACGTACATGATACGATCCCAAAATGAACCGAAGACTGAATACCATTTAAATTAGACTTAAGCTTCATTGTTTAGTGTTTAATCTTTATTTTCGTATTATAAATGCAATATTATTTTGCCTACAAACGATATGTCTATTATTCGCATTTCCAGTTTATCTTCGCGTAGATTATACTGAAAAGAAATATTACTTTAGAGAAACGTGAACTGCTAAAGAAGTGAATATAATTATCCGAGTCAGAACAGTCTAAGTACAGGAGAGAACTCAAATGCAATGAAAGTATAAAGCAAAGAGAGAAAAAAAGAAAAGAAAGCAACGTAAAGAGAAATATTTTGTTTAAAAGGGAATTGATTAAAAAGAAAGAGAAAACAAGGGGAAAATCACTTCATATTTTATCATGGCCATAAATACGGAAATTGGAAACTGATAACATGGAGTGATTATTACGGAAGAAGAAAAGAGGAAAAAAAATCCAAGAAAAACAAAAATACTCGACTGATGGAAAATATATTAACTTTCATTTGTAAGCGTTCGGATTCACTTATAGAAGATTTAAACAAAGTAAGGATAAACCGAATAACAAAATTAATCGTGGGAAAAAAATGTAAAACTTACAAACGATATATGATAACTGCTATTTCCAGAAATTAGAACTCTGTTACCAAGTACAGACTGGCGCGAGATATAGTATTCAGCCATTTTGATCATCTCAAGAACCGGTTGGGTGGCCTTGATATAATGCTATGTAACAGATATTGCCCTGTGTGGTTAGTTCGCCGGCAGTGAGACGACACTAAAGCAAAAGCCCCGCTGACACGAAACGTTTTTGCAATGTTGCACTTGGTGTGCGGTTAGTGTAATGGATCACGGTTCTGAATGAGAAAGCGTAGAGCCGAGTTCGAATCCCAGTTGAGTTCGTAACTTTCACTTACGTGCAAATACCCTTAGAAATGTCTTTTCTCTTCCCCCAATGAATGAGAAATTGGAGATACGAGTTCAAATCCTAGTTCGGCTCGTTACATTTACTTATGCGCAAATAGCCTTGGAAAAGGCATTAATCTTGTACTGAGAAAAATCAATGTTATTCATAAAACAACTGTTAATGCAAAATGGAGTTATTCGCATAGTTTAAATGATAATTTGGCTTAAAATAATTGACAAAAGTCTGACAAGCCGTAAAAAAATATTCAACAATTTAACGTTGCAGACATCTTATTTTATTTGGACGGTCACGTGATGTTATGAAGCCGTTACTGCAATGATGTAATCAACTAACTTCCTGACCGTTCCTCCTCCATGTAGTCATAACATTATAGTTAATTTGAGAAGTGCTGTAGCTGAAAAGCACCTCACTGGTCAAATAACCTTTGACTAATCTTTATTCACTTGAAATATATATATATATATATATATATATATATATATATATATATATATAGACGCTATAACATTTTTTTCTTTTTGTATAACTGAGAATCACTAATTTACATGCTGAATGCTCGTTCCTGGAATTCATAATCCATTTTCGGTTAAGGTAACGAATTCGCCACGTTACAAGACAGCATATTTGCAACGTTATCAGAAAACACATTTGCAACGTTACAAATCAATATAATGACAACGTAAACAAATTGGTAACATTACAAAACAAAGCTTTTGGAACGTTACAAGGCAACGTTACAAGGCAACGTTACAAGGCAACGTTACCAGGCAACATATTTGCAACATTACAAGGCAACGTATTTGCAGTGTTATAAGGCAACGTATTTTCAACTTTACTAGTCATCGTCTTTTCTATGTTACAAGGTGTTATAGAGTAGTTTCACAGTGGAGGCTTGTATTTCACTAAGTCGGTCCTAAAAAGGTTCGACGTACAAAACGTTAGGAACTTGTTATAATAGTTAATGACACAGCAATCTAATTGTGGTGGTTGATACTTTAATGTCCGACATCGACTGACTCACCAACTCACTCTGAGTCCACTCTGGCGACTGCTACTACTACTACTTATTATAGGTGGGAGAGTCTATTAATAATAGAATAGGTATGTTCCAGTATAACACAAGGTAACATATTTGAAAGGTTATAAGGCAACGTATTTGCATCATTACAAAGCGACGTATTTGCAAAGTTAAAAGACAACGTATTTGCAACATTACAAGGCAACGTATTTGCAACGTGACAAGACAACGCATTTAAAACATTATAAGTCAAGGAATAGGCAATATTACAATGTAACGTATATTTACAACGTTACAAGACAATGTATTTGCAACGTTACAAGGCAACGTATTTCCAATATTGGTAACGTTAGAAGGCGACGTATTTGCAACATTTTCTCGTCCAGACAGACCAACTAACAACGGACGTCCGTGAAACTTTGCAGATACGTTATATTTTGGTTGGAGGACTTAATGCATTATGCCGACGTTACGGTACTGTTGCAACCAACAATTCTCCTAACCCCAAACTGCTTAATCATACTCAACGTTCTGACAAGGTTATGCTAATTTTGCAACGTAATGTAGTCAAAATATTCCACACTGGTAATGCATTCTCTTCATTTAACTTGAGTATAAAAAGCATACAATTTCTTTTCGTATTTTCGTACTTATAATCACTAATTTAGATTATGCATGTCTGTTCTAATATCTTCTTGAAATTTATTATCCATTTTGTTATTACTTTAAACGTTATTTTTTAGTGGATACTCATATTCGAGTAGAAGCTTAGTTTATTTATTAAGCAGTATATTTTCTTTATGTAATAAAATTTCTCGAATATACAGGCCAGTAAACGCAAATGAACAAATAACAAATAAACGGAGCGTCTAATCGAATATGAGTATCCATTAAAATAACTTTTAAAGTTATAAAAATCTGTCAGATTAATCAATAAAAAAATCCATTACTTCTTTAGAAAATTGCTTTGTTTACTTTTGGATACGAAACTGAGCAAATGTGATAATTTCGAGGAATCTATAATGAGAGGGTTTCCGTTTAAAGTAACTTTTCAGTCTAGCTTTATCGGCAAAAGTTCTGATAAGACATTATAAACACAACATTGCACCAGTTCACAATAGATTCATAAAATTGCACTGTGCAGAATTAATCACAGAGTCTGGAGAGTAGGATCAATGGTAACGGAATATAAATAATTGCACATGCTAAGTGTCACTTAACAATGGATGTGTGCAAACTGAATGCAGGTATGGATTACTATGCTTTACCTCAGGCCTATCCTACAAGTCTTTAGTCGATAAGGAATTGCGCTAAACAGAAATCGAATAATAATAGTAATAATAATAATAATGGTAATAATAATAATAATGGTAATAATAATAATAATAATAATAATAATAATAAGAAGAAGAAGAAGAAGAAGAAGAAGAAAAGATTAATAACAAGTAAATATAGGGAAAAAAGAGAAAGTAGATGATGATGATGAACATGAAGGAGAAAAATTAATAAATGTAAATATAGTAAAAAATAGAAAATAAATAATAATGAGGAAAAGAAGAAGGTGAATACGAAAAATAAAAAATTAATAAGAAGTAAACATGCGAAAAAAGAAGAAGTTGATGATTATTATGTTGATGGAGGAGGAGGAGAAAAACAATAATAATAATAAGAAGAAGAAGAAGAAGAGATTAGTAAAAAGAAAATATAGGAAAATATCAAATGAGTAATAATAATAGCAATTAGAAGAAAGAGAAGAAGGAGAAGAAGACGAAAAAGAAGATGCATATGAAGAATAAAAGGTTACTAACAAGTAAATTTAGGGAAAAAAGAGGAAGTAGATGATGATGAGGAGGGAGAAGCAGGAAAGATTAATACCAAGTAATTATAGGAAAAAATAGAAATGATATTACGAAGGAGTAAAAGAAGAAGAACCCATAGAATAAAAGGTTAATAGCAAGTAAATATAAGAATATAAGTAAAAATAAGAAAAAAGCAAGAAGTAGATGAAAAGATTAATAAAAAGGAAAAAATAGGAAAATAGAAGAAAAAATTAATTATGAGAAGAGGAACAGGAAGAAGACGTGGCCTGATAGTAACTAGCATAACAGACGTCACCCTGATTACGAATGTGATTATGAATTCTGCTGAAAACGTCAAGCGATGAACGGGTGCATTTCTCAAGAGAACACCTAACAGATATAATTATGGAAAGCGAATTTGTTCTCATGGAAATTTCGAAATTATTCGTAATAAAAAGAATGAAACCGAATAGGTACCGAATGGAATGCATATAAAAAAAAAATAATGGCAATACCCACAAGGGAACGGAAGTACAAATGGATGCTGTAAACATCTCAGCTCTAACAGGAATTGTTTTCCTACAAAAGATCTTGTTTGGTCATGAGATTTTTTTATGATTTTTTTTTTTGTTGGGGAGTGGGTCAGGCCGAAGACTTTTCAGCAAAACCCCGTGTATTTAAAAAAAAAAATTAGCAGCTTAACTCAACGTTATACAAGCAAATATAAATGGATGGGAACATTGATCCTCTGGGTATGATGATGAGGAAGATCGCCATTATTTTCTACATTTTATTCAGCTTTCTCAAGAAACAACAATTTTCCGAGCTGGTCAATAGTTTTCAGTTCTTATCTGTAATGTGTTGCATCAGCGACATACACTATCTGAAACATTACGTTTTCTTTGTTAACGACATCTAGATTTGCTAAGGGGTTCTGAATAGGGCGATATGTTAGAATTTCAGAGTTATAGGTAGATTTGCTTTATCACTTATCTAATAAAACAGTTCCCATATTATATAATAAATATAGTCTTTGTTATATAATCTGTATTATATAGTTTTTGTTATACTGGTGTTCTTCACAAGGAGTTGAAAGGTTATTTCTAGACAAATATTTTAACTGATTCAATCTTTCTTATCGATGGTACGGGGTCCCCACTTTTCATCTAGAGATTCTCGACAAAATCCAAAGACGGATATGCAATGTAATCGGTCTTGGTTTTGTCTCCAGTCACTTTCTCCCCGACGTAATGTGGCTTCCCTCTGTCTTTTCTATAAATATTTTCATGGCATCTGCTCTGACGAGCTATTTTCAGTGGTGCACCGATTGCATTAATATAAGCGTGCTACTTGCTAGGGGTGAATTGCTTAAAAAAAAATAAAAATCGGAAAATGAAAGTTCTCCTGAACGGCCATTCTTCTAGATCTATTTCTATTAATGCAGCAGACAGCTAGGGCAATATCTTTAAGTCTACAATTTTCCTAATTTTCATCAATGAGGTTTCTGATGACATAAGTTCTAAACTAGTAATTTATGTTGAATTACACAATTATTCTCTCCTGTCTAAATAGTAAGTCTGCTCAGTTTGATATGGCCAAATCGGCAACTGATCTAAAAATGTGCTGCCATCTACTGTTACCTGGGTCAAGGAATAGGTCATTGATTTTAACGCCTCCACAGCGAAACGTATCTCTGTTAAACATCTGAGAGGGCCCTTCGCGACTTCCATCGGTATGACTGATGCTAACCTTCGAGAGATTTTCTACTGGCATGAAGTGGAAAGATTATATTGAATAAATTGCTGAGTCTGCTGCTAGGAAAGTTGGGACACTATGTCGTTTTAGACAATATTTTTCTCTTCAATATATCTTAAATATTTATAAGGCTACCATGTACCCATGCTTTGAATATTGCTGCCACATATGACCTGATGCTTCTGTTATATATTATAGAATCTTGATTTGATCCAAAGTAAAATCGGCAATTTCTTTTCTATTTTCTTATTCTTATTATTTCATATTCAGTAACGATTTGTGTCTTAGTGCTTTTATTGCCGGGCTTCTAGTGAAATTATTAAAATATAATAATAATTTTATCTAATAAATACTTTTTTCTGTTATTTAATAAACCTCTGTGATGTATATATATATATATATATATATAAACCAGAGTATATACCATTGGTTATGAAACCAGGAGTATATATTTAAACCATTGGTTTATGTTAGAATTGGTTTTGCACTATGGAACATATGTCATTTTTTAACTTGACGGAGGATCAATTTTTATGACCAATCTAGGTTAATATTGAAAGAAAAGAAAATGTTAGAAGAAGAAGAAGAAGAAGAAGAAGAAGAAGAAGAAGAAGAAGAAGAAGAAGAAAAAGAAGAAAAGAGAATAAGAAAGTCGATGAAGATAAAATAAAGAGAGGGTAAAATGAGAAAGTAAAAGACAAAAGACAGAAAATAGGTAAATAATAAAAAAAATTCTTCACTATAGAGAAAAGAAAAGAGAAAAAGACTACAAAGGAAGAAAAAAATTGAAAAATAGAAAAATAGAAAAGAAAACATCTAATCAAAGAAAATTTACATAGAACGAAATTATTATTATACATAAAAATACGAGATGAGTCAATTCAAATATTAGAGTCATTGAGTGCTAGAAACAAAATAAAACTTCTCTTTGAAATCAATCTTTCTATCCAAGATCATGCAAAATATAATCTCTAATTTGTATTCTTCACTAACATCGGTGCCTGGATAGTTTTTCCTTTTTTTTTTTCTTTTTTTTTTTTTTTTTCATTATTCCGAGTTAATATTGAGAATACTTTTTGGTTCCAATGAAAACTGACCACAATTTTCTTGTTATTGGTTGTGCTTTGTTTGACAGAAAGCAACAAAATGCCATGAACTCTTTTACGGAATGACCTGATTTTTCACGGAGTTACAGGAGGAAAAATCAATTGTTGCAAAAGATTCAGCGGGAACATTTTGCTTTCTTCGCACTATTCTTTCAAACGAACATTGTGAAAAGCATGAAAACCATTATAATAATAGTCTGTCTCTGCCGGTTGGTACGATTGATTCTATCATTGTCTTCATATATGTTCGGACTGTAGCACTGCAATCCCCATCTTTTACGATATTTTGCCTGTACTAGTTTATTTCGATTGTTATTTGTCAGTCAGTCAGTCAGGGTTTTATTTTTTTATATTTTTTATTTTCAAAATTCATTATTATATCATATGCATTGTGTCTGAATGCTTAAAATGATCGCTTCCCTAACATGAGACCGAGTTCGTTCGAATCTCACCAAAGTCTATAGTTTTCTACGTCTGTATATCTCCCAAGTACATTTTCCTGTGTATTTATTTCTCGATATTTCATAGTTTTTACGTATATCCAATATGGTGTATATTTATATAGACATTTGAATCTTCAATCTATGAAGATTGAATTTAGCTATTTTGTCTCTAACATGTCTCAATGTTGTTGTTCTAAAAATAAAACTTCGTTGTGCTTAGCAGCCAAAGGAATAAAACATTTTCTTGATAGGACCCCCCTTCTGCATAAGGAACCTGGATAAATAGATAAAAATTACTGGATAAATATTATTACATGTTTGTAATGTCAACGAAAACACGTTTGACACTTTTGTGATGTCAACAAATACTCATTCTCATTTTCGTAATTCTCGTCATAGTAGAGACTTTGTAATCGCAGATACAACTATAGTAACGCCGTTGAACAATGCTGGTGTCAGACGCCTTCGAATAACACTCGCACTAATAGTACTTGCTCGATAATACTCGCTCGAACATTATTCCGTATAGTGATCTGAATAGAGAAATTGTATAATGAATAAAGTAAAAAATAGCGCTCCATATAGTAATAGGGGATAGAACAGAAGTACAGACCAGATAGAATAGAAATGCGATCGTTAGTCGTCAGCTACTTCCTGCATATCTTCGTTTCCTTTATGGTCACGTGATCCACTTAATCCAATAATAGAATCTCCTGTGTTTGCTCACTGGCGATATATGTTTAATACAAGTGTCGACAGCGAGAATTTATTCCTATATAACAATATTACGTCACATTACACCGACAGCTGATAAAACCTATTAATGTTCTTTCAAGTGGCCCAAAAAGCTGGACTCTGTGGAGTGAAATGAAGAACTCACGCTGTAAAAGATTTTCTAGGCCGAGAAAAGAACTATGTCTTACAAAACTTTTAAAAAAATTAACCAAATAGAATAGAAAGACAAAAAGGACATGGACGGAAGAATTGAAGTCAGTGGCCTACTCAGACGGAAATAAGCTCAGTTTTGGAGGGTACTGATGGACATGGATCAAAATGGCATATATATTACAATAGGTACCTAGTATTTGCTCATCGCCTTCAAGATAGTTGAAGGGAATGGATATGTGCTGACTACTTGGAAAAAACTGTGATATCTTTCATTAATACTGCGAGATAAGAGAACTTTTTATCTTCTGCCTAGATTCCTTCTATGGAAGACATTGCTAGAACCAGCTTCATTTCTTCAGGTACAAAGCACAAGGAAAGCAAGCTAACTAGAAGACCCATCAAGAAACTGCTTCATTCCTTCAGCCACAAAGCACAACATAGTTTTCTTTTTAAAACAACAACACTGACGTTATTTATTGGGAAGACTTTTCTTGTAACGTCATTCCAACCGATAATCTGAGGGGTATGCTGTATGAAATTTAGCGTCAGTAAAATTTACCCCAAGAATTGAAAATGTCTATGAACTTTTTCGATTCTTGGGTTATTCAGGATGCGTGAGAATCAGCAGACAATGATTAATTGCTTAGATTAGTATATAAATTTAGAAAATGTATTTTACAGTTGATATTCCTCGCAGCAAATATAGAAAGTGCAATGGTTAAATTGCCACCATTTTATATTTCTAATTTCGCGCATGCGCTTTGTTTGTTTTTTTTTATTTTCTATTTTGTCGACTGCACAGTATAGAAGTGTCAGTTGAGCACCGTCTGTGAGAAAAAGATGGCCATGACACAATTCATTCCGTCAGAAATTTGGAAACGGCTTGCTTTACTGCTTGGCACTTGCGCCGGAAACATCAATACGAACATTTCAGATCGTTTGGGTGTCAATCTGAGGACAGTGTAGAGGATTTAGAAAGATTTGGATGAGTCTAATGGTGATCACGAAGGTACAGCAGCTCGGAATAATCACTCTGATCGTTCTGATAAGAAAAGAACTCCGAACTTGTTGGTGAGGGCCTTAGAATCAACACAGAGACTTATGTCAAGCGCCTCAAGGAGGTTGCGTTGCCCCGGCTCAAGGGTTTGGCTGCTGGAAGACACGACGTGTGGCAACAGGATTCTGCAACATGCCACACAAAGAGAAGAACCCAATCATGGCTGTCAGACAATTTGTACCACCGCATAACTCCTTATATCTGGACACTTAGACTCCTCAGACTTAAGCTCCTTCATTATTATATGTGAGGCGCAGTTGAGCGAGAGATCAACAAAACTCCTTGTAACACCAAAGACGAACTGAAGGCAAAGATTATGGCAGCATTCACCAACTTAAACAAGGAGACCCTCCAGAAGAGACGTCAGAGATTCGGATGTCTTCTGGGGGACGTGGTGGAAGTCAATGGCGAGTTTATTGAATATTGTGTAATCTTGATAAATATATATCTGTCAAAACGAGATTTCGGTGTTGTTTTCATTTTTGCGCAATTTAGACGATAATTTATTCATCTCACCCTGTGCACACACACACACACACACACACACACACACACACACACACATATATATATATATAAACACATTTTAGGGCTAAATTAGCTAAGTTCGAAATTCATAGACTGAAAACTCATCTGGCTATATAATTATGCGCCACACTGAATATATATGAAAATGATTAAATATATGGGATTTAATGTACAAAATTATGAAATGTATGGGATTCAGTGTACAAAATGATTAAATATATGGGATTTAATGTACAAAATTATGAAATGTATGGGATTCAGTGTACAAAATGATGAAATATATGGGATTTAATGTACAAAATTATGAAATGTATGGGATTCAGTGTACAAAATGATTAAATATATGGGATTTAATGTACAAAATTATGAAATGTATGGGATTCAGTGTACAAAATGATTAAATATATGGGATTTAATGTACAAAATTATGAAATGTATGGGATTCAGTGTACAAAATGATGAAATATATGGGATTTAATGTACAAAATTATGAAATGTATGGGATTCAGTGTACAAAATGATTAAATATATGGGATTTAATGTACAAAATTATGAAATGTATGGGATTCAGTGTACAAAATGATGAAATATATGGGATTTAATCTAAAGAATGATGAAATGCATGGGAATTCAATTGTGTAGACTCGTAAATATGTACTTTGATTATGCTTAGTTGTTACAGGTTACTAAAAGTAAAACTTTCTTTAATATTCTGTTATTGGTTTTATCATTTTACCACAGTTGTTTTTTTTTTGTTTTGTTTTGTTTTGTTTTGTTTTCGGTTATTTTTTAAAATAAAGTCTACAAAGTTTTATTTAGAGAAACCTACATACTTAAAAATTCCCTTTTGGAATTTGTATACAAAAACTTATAATACCATAAGTTTCATAAGTTGAAAGTTTAACTGGTCTTATATTTATCCAACATACTCTATGTGTATCTGCTTGTATTTCTCTGTTTCAACTGTTTTTATATATTCATCTGGCAGCTTGTATTTCTTTTTAGACACTTCTCGTCATCTCTCTATTTGCGTCGTACCAAGCCGTTCGATATTTTGCCAAAAGAAACAGCAGGATACGTGTCAGGGACAGACATTGTGTGTGTGTGTGTGTGTTATTTCTTGCGTTCACTTATATAATTCAATAGCGGTGAAATGATTGTTACAATATACAATCGATAATGTGCTGTTCGTATTTGGCCTCAGAGTAAATGTTTTTAAATATTTTTTTTTAAACTATACAATATTCAAATACCGACAATGCTGATAGCAGCAAAAGTGTCACAAGCAATACACTGTGTAGACGTTTATCCGCTTCAATGTAGATATCAGAATATTAAAGAAAAGAGGGGAGCTTGAAAACTACAAGGAGACAGAATATGGGATAACCACGTGGAGAGGACCTTAAAGAAACAAGAGGGCAAAGACCGAAATACATAAGTTGAGCGGTCATGAAACCTGCAAAAAGGACACGAACCTGCAAAGGCTAAACTAAGAAAGGACAGAAAATGAAACCTGCAAAGGCTGAAATATGAAAGGACAGGACATGAGTCCTGTAAAGGCCGAAATATGAAAGGACAGGGAGTCATGCAAAGGCTGAAATATAAAAAGGACAGGACATGAAATCCGCAAAAGCTGAAATGAGAAAGGACAGAAAATGAAACCTGCAAAGGCAGAAATATGAAAGTACAGAACATGAGTCCTGCAAAAGCTGAAATAAGAAAGGACAGGACATGAGTCCTGCAAATGCTGAAATATGAAAGGACAGAACATTAAATCCGTAAAGGCTGAAATAT